TCTGGTGGCAGGGCTGTGGCTCCCAAAGCACAAAGGATGCCACCGAGAGGGTGGCTGTGTCCCACGCCCCCCTCTCCCCACTCAGGGCAAGGAGCGAGGAATAATTGGGGCATCTCAGGGAGTACATCCTTGCCACCCCCGCCATGTGTTGTGGCCTTTGCTCCCCAGCATCCAGGATTAAAGGACAACAGGAAAAAGCCAACAGCTTTCCCTTAGGGCGCCCCTCCGGAGAGATCCCCATCCCACTGGTAGCCCGAGGACATCCCGGGACATCCCTCGGGCGGCTGTCACGGTGGCACGATGCCCGTTGTCCCGGCACTGCGGCCTCAGTTAGACACTGAACCCTCAAAAGCAACGTGTTTTAATGATTTCTGGTTTTAAAGCTCGTGAAAATAATAATAATATTAATAATAAAAATAATAATAAACCAAGACTTCCAGTCATCTCAAGGACTCCCCTCCCTATTTTTAAAAGTGGAACAGATCCCAGCCAGGGCAGCAGCTCCAACTCCGGGCTGTCTTCTCCCCCCCCAGGGAGGCAGCATTGCTGGAGACCACCCCCCCCTTCCCCCCAAAAAATGCTGAAGGGGTTAAAGACTACAGAGCTCTCTATTGCTAATATGCGATTTACATCATTTATACAGCATTTACGGGCCCCTGCCTTTATTCCAGCTAAAACTCAGCATCGGTTTCCCTTAGGAAATGGAAAAAAAAAAAAAAAAGGTTAAAGAAAAGTTAAGTATAAAAAAATATCTCAAAGAGTTGCTCTCGCTTCCCCTCCTTTTAACGTGAAGAAATGGGGGGGGGGCTTGGGGGGTGTGTCAAGGAGCTGCTGATGGGCTCCGGGGTCTCCAGTGGGACAGAGGAGCCAGCTCAGGCACTTTCTTGCGAGGGGGACAGAGGCTGTGGCAGGTGACGTCCCTCTGGCCCTGCTCCCATCAAGATCTGAAAGAAGACAAAAAAAAAAAAAAACACAAACCAAAAACCAACCCAGGATTTGAGAAATGCGCTTAGGAAGACATTCAAAAAAGTTATTTCAAAGGCGGCAGGGGGGTTCTTTTGAAAGTCAGCTTCATTATTCCCTGGAATAACAAGGAAATTCAATATAAATACTCAAAAGGGAGCGAGACACCAGCCCCCAGCTCCATCGCTGGCCAAATCCAGCTTTTTTTTTGATGCTTGCAGAGAAAACCCAAATGAAAGGGAGAAAAAAAGGAGTTACACTACTCAGGTCCAACCCCCATCTCTAGTTTTTTTGATGGCCAAGGGAAGAACAGAGAAGGAGAGATGGACAGAGAAGGACAGAAGGACATCTTACTGGGAAATCTTGCAGTTTGTCGTGGCGACGTAGCGTCCGGTGTAATGGATGTTGCACCTCACCACATTGTTGGTGAAGTCTGACTCCAGGACGATGTATTTGGGGTTCACTTGAACCTAAAAATGGGGGAAAGGGAAGGAAAAACACCCCCAAAAATTACTAAGAAGGGGGACGAGCAGCGCCTAAACCTGTGTTAAAGGGATGGCACAAAAAAAAGTGGGTGGTCCCGAACCCGATGGTTAAGAGGATCCCAAGCCGCCCCCAAATCAGTAATGTTTGCCCCTAAAAATCTCCCCCAACAACCCTGGCCACCTTTAAGACGTAATTCCCCGGCTGCACGTCCGTTATATCGATCCACTGGCAGTCAATGTCGGCGTTGTAGGTGTCGTAGCAGCCCGGGCTCAAGCCCTGCGGGGAGAAAAGGGGGTTCAGGGTATGCTGGGGGGGTGGCGTGTGAACCCCGAGGAGCCCTTCAAGCTTCCTCCCCCCCGCAAAGGCACCTGGGTGTGGGCCGTGCAGGCGTAACGCTTCAGGTTGCCGAAATCACAGGTGGTGTCCTCCAGGCAGAAGCTGGCCTTGTGGCCCTCGGCCACCTTCCTCCCTGTGGTGGCATCCAGCAGGTCGTAGTGGCTGAACTCATCCATGCTGTGGTAGTGCCTGGGGACAGAGGGAGGGACGACGACAGAGTCAGGGTGACCCCCGAATGGTGCCGTCCCCTCCCCAGATGGGATTCTGGGGGCTGCCCATCAACGTGGGTCCACACCGGCTTGCCAGCTCCCTCCTTGGGGACATTAACTGCAGGAGCTTGGTGGCTTTAGGGACAAAGAGGGGAAGTAAGGTAACACCCCCCCACCCCACCCCGCCCCAAGCTCTCAAAGCAAAGCCACAAAAAGGGGGAAAGGCCATTAAAAAAGCCTTAAAACTGCCATGAAAAGGGGGGCTGATGGAGGGGAGGTGGGGACACTCACTGGTGGCAACTGTGCCATTCCCAGCTGTGCCGGGGCCGGCTGGGCAGAAAGTCGGCTGTGCCCTGGTTCTTCACCCGCTGGGGAAACCGCAGGAGCACCCGCACGTCGTAGTCGGTGGCTTCGGCGGTGTAGGCGGTGCTGGGGACATCAAGGAAGGTCAATGCCAACGTCCACCCCCCACCCCAGCCCTCGGCCCCAGCCCCGGGGGACAGGAGCTCTGGCAGGTTCAGCCCTGGCACCCCTGGGGAGGCAAATCTCCAGCGATCGCCTCTGTAGGGAGAGTTTCCTCCGTGGAAAAGGAAATGATGAAAAAAGAAGAGGGAGAGGAGAGAAGGTCCCCTGCCCTGCAGCACTCGCCAGACCCTTCCTTTGTGCTTTGCTTTGCTCTTTGCTTTGCCCTTTCCTTTCCCCTTCCCTCTTTCCTTCTCTTCTCCTCTCCTTCATCCTTCTACCCCTTCCCTTCCCCTTTCTGCTTCCCTTTACCCTTTCTTGCTCCTCTCCTTCATCTTTTTCCTCCTTCCCTTTCCTTCTTCCCTTTCCCATTCTTTCCTCCATCCTTCTCCTCCTTCCTCTTCCCTCTCCTTCCCTTTCCCCTTTCCTTCTCTCCTCCACCCTTCTTCTCCTTCCCCTTCCCTTTCCCATTTCCTCTTTGCTTTGCTTTTCCCTTCCCTTCTCTCCTCCTTTCTTTTCCTTCACCCTCCTTCCCTTTCCCCTTTCCTCTTCCCTACCCTTCCCTTTCCCCTTTCCTTTTCTCCTCCATCCTTTTCCTTCATCCTTCTCCTTTCCCACCCCTCTTCCCTTTCCCCTTTCCTATCCTTCACTTGCCTTCTCCTCTCCTCCACCCTTCTCCTCCTTCCCCTTTCCTCTTCCCTATCCTTCCCTTTCCCCTTTCCTTCCCCCTCCTCCATCCTTCTCCTCCATCCTCCTCCTCCACCAGCGCGTCCCCCATTCCTCCCCATCTCCCCCTCACCCCAGGACCCCCCTGTCTCTCCCCATGTCCCCCCCGGCCCCAGGACGCAACCCACACCCCCCCATGGCTGCTCCTACCTGGCCAGGCACTTCTCCTCAGCCGCGCAGCGCAGCGAGTACAGGTGAGCTCGCTGCACGTAGGTGGACGCTTGCACGTAGTTGGGGTCCGGCACCAAGTCGGGGAGACCTGCCAGGAGGACGGGGACAGCCCTGAGGACGGGGACAGACCTTGGGGACAAGGCTCAGGGACGCCGCGGTGCCCTCCTCGAAGCAGCCAGCCCCGACCTCCTGGGGAAGTTTTGCTTTGGTCACCACCATGTTTTTTTAATTTGAAGCTGCAGATGGAAAATCCTCCCTCTCCCTCCCCTTCCCCCCCCACCCCGGGTTCCTGCTGGCAAATCCCAGTCCTCCATTTTCCTACAGCGGGATTGCTCAACCCGTCCTCCTGGAAGCGATTACACCCAGCCCTGGACGGCCACCCTGCAAGGGGTTATTGGGGTCCCCCTGAGCCCCTGGACTCCCACCCCTGTGGCAGCCAGGAACGGGGGGTGACAAGAGCCCCCAAAAAGGGGGGGTTCCTATTTCCTGCCCTGCTTCCTGTTTTTCACCCCAAACCAGGGGTGAGAGTGGGGGCTCTGCTGACCCCAGGCCCCCCCCCCCCACGCCTTTAGCCCTCCTCTCCTTCAATTCCTGATGTCGCCCTGTGCTTGGGGCCAAGCCAGAGCAGGCTGCGGACAGACAGACAGACAGCTAGCCACAGGGATGGGCGGGGGCTGCCTCACTTTCCAAAAGCATTACAGAGCCCAGCTGGAGCCAGAACTTACCCCCCCCCCCAGCAACGCCCTTTCACACCTCCCCTTCCCAAAGGCTCCTCCGGGACCAGCGACCCTGAAAGCATCCTTACATCTGCCCCTCGAGACAGACCGGGATGGGAGGGGACGGCCCCCAGGCGCTCCGTTCCTCAGTTTCCCTTCTCACAGCCCACTGCAAAGTCAAGCCCTGCTCCGCAACAACCTCTGCTTAGCATCTCTCCTTCCTGCGAGCTCACTGGCCTGTCCCCATCCCCATCCTCGTCCCTGTCCCCATCCCTATCCTCGTCCCCATCCTTGTCCTTGTCCCCATCCTCGTCCCCATCTTCAACCCCATGTTCACCTACATCCTCATCCCCATCCCCGTCCCCATCCTCACTCTTCATCCTCATCCTCACCCTCTTACCTGTCCCCATCCCCATCTTCATGCCCATCCCCATCCTCAACCCCATCCCCACCTTCATCCCCATCTTCATCTCCATCCTCATCACCATCCCCTTTCAAGGGACTGGGGGGGGGGGCTCCAGCCACATCAGCTCCTCCCTTTGCACCCAGACACTTGCCAGCACGTTTCCCTTTTTTCCTCTCCTATTTCTTTATCCCTATTTTCCCTTTTTTTCCATGGGCAAAAAGAACAATGCCTTCTTGTTTCTTGGCCTGCCTTCCCTCGAGGGATCACGTCACTCCATTGGAGCTCGTTTCCTGCCCCGCTTGCTTGGTCATCGCTGCTGATGTAATACCCCGGGGGGGGGGCGCGCACACCAGGGGAGAAAATTGGGAGAGCTTGGAAAGACTTCCCCCCCCTTAAAAAAATTAATAATAAAAAAAATGATGGACAAAGACCCCTGGGCCCCATCCCACTTGCAAGAGGAACATTTGTCATCATTTATAAACCAGCTTTTCCTCCCCGCTGTTGTTTATAATAAATTCTTGGACGCTCCGGAGAGAAACCCGACTCCTTTACCAACGGGGAGTTATATTTTCCCCCCACGACGGAGCTCGCCCTGGATGGCCCCGTTGTTATTGTAGGGTCTCACGCCTGGTTTTCGGCTCAGGCCCGGCAGCGAAGGGTCAGACCGCAAGCGCCGGCATCGCTGGGGTTAATGGGATGGCAGGATCCGGCCTCACCACCCTCCAAATGTCCCCTTATCACAGCAGGGCACCGAACTGTCCCCATCAGGGGCTGGCCAAATCCTGATCCTTTTTGATGAGCCAGCACTTTTCCACCTCCTGCAAGTCAGGGGGCCTGGCAGCCCCCCACTATCGCCTCCAAAAAGGGACAACCACAGCAAGAAAATGTTTGTTTTTCCTCCTCCGCCCCTCAGCCTGCCCCGGGGAGCTGCCAGAGAAGATTTCCTTCTTATTCACCATGAAAATTAGAATAATAAAAAAAGGCAGGCCTGCTCCCTGCCGTGCTGTTTGTGCAGGTGTGCCGGGCTTAGCCGAAAAATCCCAGCTCCAGCAGTTTTCCGAGAGGGCGGCTGCTTCGCCTCCCTGTGCCCGGCAAGTGCTGGGTCCCCGCCCTGGAGATGCAGAGACCACTGACGGGGGGTGGCTGTGAGCAGTGGGGATGGGGACTTGGGGACACCCCCGAGCGACCAAGACGCACCCCTTCGTTCCTCCATCCCACCCCTGCGGCATGCCTCCTCCAGCACCTCCTGGTGCACCCCTTCATCCCCCCCATCCCAGCCCCACTGAATCTTCCCCCAGTCCCCCATTGGTTGTTAAATGCCTTAAGATAGCAAGAAAATCAACCCAAACTCATCCCCAAGCCCAGAAAAGGGAGACTTTCCCAGAGAGAGTGTCACCTCCTGGCTCAGGTGCCCCATCCGTGGGTGATGGCATCCTCAGGAGCCACCACGAGTCAAGCTTAGTGGGTACCGAAATCCCCATCACCCCATGGGATTTCCAAAACCCGCTCCCATTCAAAAACCAACCCAGGGCGACCCGTTCGCACGAGGGAAAGGCAAAAAACCCCTGCTGGAGATGGAGGAAAGCAGAAAGGAGGGGTCTGGGGAGGGGTGAGGGTGAGGAAGCCCCTGAAGATGCCTCCTGGGGGGTGGTCAAAAGCGGGGAGCACCGGTAAGACCCAGCACCTCGGTTGAACCCCACGAGGAGGGGTGGGCTATCTGTCCCCACGGCTTAGATGCCACGTGGGCTTGGATTTCACCAGACATGACCTCCTTTGCATGAGGTCACTCGGGTCCTGAGCGAGACTCGGGTGACGCTCGGGTCTTCTGCAGCAGTCGCGAGCAGGAGACGTGAAGACTTTTGGTGTCTCCTCCCCATCTCCTTGCCAAAGCCCAATCTGCTGCATTTATCCCCTTCCCTTGACCAAGCCACATGAGAAGATCCTCTCCCACCTCCGCCATGGCCTGGCCACCTATAGATTTAGGGCTGGAAACTAATTCAGCTCTCACCTTCTAAGATGTCTTCTTTGGCTGGTTTGGATGGAGGGAGGCGGCCGACCCCCAGTGCTCATGCAAGCCCCAGTAAACCCCCTCATAAAAGCTGTTGGGATCTAATTGCTTAATTAACCCCCCAGGTGCCCCAGCGAGGGGCTGGGAATGCCGCGCATTCCTGGCGGAGCCGGCCGGGATTAGGAGGCTCTTAAAGAGCTTAGGCGCATAATTAACATCTGATTCGGCTTTATAAAGTGTTTTGACCAATTAAGAAACCTGCCTGAAGGGTGGCCCTGCAGGTGACAGGCTTGGAGGTTTTTTTGGTGACCCCCAAGGAGGTGACAGCTTTCCCCAAACAAAGCTTGGCTGGAGAGAGCAGCCCGTGACCCGGAGGAGAGGCCAGGCAGTGGGGTGGCCCCAGAGAGCCACCTCCCTGGACTGATCGGATGATCTTTAGTCCCTTCTTTAGATTTATTAAGGAAAAATGTGAAGAAGGAGGCTGGGGGCTTCTGCACCGAGAGGTGGGTGTCCCGTTGCTGGGCTCACTGGCCAGCAAGGGTTGTCCACCCACCCATGAGCACCCCGATCCCCCTGGCAGAGCCGCAGCACCTCCACCTCCTGCCCGAGCTTCCAGGGATCCTTGAAGGACACAGCCTTTGCCAACAGGGAGAAGATAAGCTTGCCAGGCATCTTCCCACTTCCCTCTGTCACCTCGGGACATCTGCAGGGCAGCCGTCCCCAGGCACCCCTCCCTGGAGCCACGGGACCGCCGGCATCCCTCATCCCTGCATCCCTCATCCTTGCATCCCTTGCCCGGCAGGAGCGGCTGCTCCCGTCGAGGCAGTGGGAGATGCGGAGGAAGATCCTCTCTGCGCAAACCCTGTCCCCAAGCTCTTTCACACACATCTTCAGCAGGGCCGGCCGGACCTCGGGCTGACCCAGCCCGGCTGCTCTCGCTGTGTTTACTCGCTCGCACGCAATGAGGCAGGGCTGGGACGAACGCTTCCCCCAGTACAAACCCTCTGGGATGTTTTTTTCCCAGAAACCAGGGACGGGGCTGGATGGGTTATGGGGTCAGACAGGTCAGAGGCTCCAGCTGAGATGGCTTTCCCGAGGGACAGGCAGGGAACAGATCCCCCAGGCTGCTGCTCCTCACACCCTCCAGCCTTGCTTCCAATTTCACCATGGAGCAAAAACACTCTCAGCAAGCCTCAGCCAAAAGCCACAGGATTTCATCAGGATTGGGGTCAGTAGGACGTGAAACGACGGCGTCCCTGCTGCGACCTTGGTCCCCTGCTGCGGCCGGCACGGGGCGGGCAATGGGGGAGATCGGCCCCGGGTGAGGCAGCACAGATCCACCCGTAAACCAAGGCAAGAGTGCCCCGGCACAGGGCACACGGCCGGGATGACCTGGGACACGGCACTGTCCTACCCCAGGAGCACAGCGTGCCCCCCAACCCACGGCACGCAGCCACCCCGTGCCGGCAGGATGACCGAGGACATGGTCACAAGCGCACCCCACAAATACAGGATGACCTGGGACGTGCCACAGACCCACCCCAAGCTCAGACCCCGCTGGGACTTGCTCCTTCACCCCCCCTTCCCTTTCCTCTCTCTTTTTTCACCCCTTCAAACATCATTCCCAAAACACGGAGGGTCTCCAACAGCCCCTTGGTGGCCCCTCGGTGGCCGCCCAGCCGCATTTGTCCCCGTAGCACCGGGACAGCATCCTGGGAGAGTGACCGGCACCAGACGTGGGTGCAGAGGGCTCTGCCCTCGGGGATGCCTTCTCCCCAGGTGAAGGAGCACCCAGGGCACCGTCCCACCCCGGGGAGCTGCCACCCGCCCCAGGGTAGCCCCCAGACTCACCCCGTCCGCCGTGGCTGGGCCTGTAGACGCTGCCCACGCTGACCCGGGCTTGGCTATCGGGGACGGCTTGCGGCATTTCGGGGCTCCTGGCGGGCAGGTAGGGCTCGGGCCGAGGAACCCCGTAAGGTTCTGGCGCCCGAAAAGGCAGCTGCGGCTCGTAGGGTGGGTACTGGCCGCCGTACCCCGTCCCGGTGGGAGCTTGTAGGTTATCCGCCGACGCGACGCCGTGGCCGGCGGGTTGCCGGTTGGCGTACGAGTCCGGGCCGCCCTGCTCCGGCGAGCCCCCCGCGTCATGGTACAAGCTATGGGAGTACCGGCGGTCCAGCCCATCGACCGGTTGAGGGGCGGCGGGCACATAGGGGCGTTCGGCCGCCGGGTAGTAACCCTGGGCTCTATAGGGGCTCTGCTCCTCCCCGTAGTCCTCGTAGCGTGCCCGGGCTTGGAAGGGGTACACCACGCTGGCGCCCGCTGCCGCCGAAGCCACGGCCGCCCCGCCGGCGCCCCGGTAATAGGTGTACGCCTCGTCGTACGCCCGGGGCGCCTCGTAGGGCTCATACTGGGGGGCGAAGGGGAACTGGGGGTACGCCGGCTGCCCGACGGAGGCGTAGGCGAAGGAGGAGGAGGAGGACGAGGAGGAAGGTTGGCGCGAGCGGCCGGCGGGCCGTACCCGTTGCGAAGCGGTACTGTCGCCCACCGGTCCCTCCCGCCAATTTTCGGGCACCTGCCCGAAACCGAAGGGATGCCTCGTCTGCCCCCGCACCGTCTCGGAACCCGGCCGCGGCGGTACCACCGGTGCCTGCCGCCGAACGTTGCCCGTTCCTCCTCCGCTCATCGCTCCCGCCAACAACAACCGGTTCCCTCCGGGTCTCTCTTGCCCGGCCGGGACGTACTCGGCGCCGGTATTAAGCAAGCTGTAAACGCGGCCGTTGTTCTCCCACTGGATCAGCTGCCTCCAAGGCTGCCCGCCGCCGCCCGCCTGCTCCTGCCCGCCCGCCAGCAGGCACAGCCCGCAACCCAGCGCTGCCCACAACCCCCAAGCTCCCCCCGGTTCCATCCCGCTGGCCGTTTCCGCCGCTTTTTCCCCCCCC